ACAACGCAATAGGGGAGCAATTATACCACAAGAAGTGACTATGAAGGGAGAGACAACACTAAGAAGTAACTGTAAATAGAGAGACGATGAGTACGAGAGACGCTGCCGATGAGAGAAGGAGCAGTTCGAACACAAGCTGAGGTAAGAGGGAGTGTGTGTTTGAAATTTGAATTGGGTACTGCCTAGGTTGTCAACAGCTTCCTATTGGGTTGTTAATACTCGCTGTTGAGGTTGTCAAACATATTGGCAAAAAAAACTGAGAATTGGGAACCACAGATTAGAAGGGATAGTGATGTCATTTTACAATTACAATATAATACTCTAAGGTTCCTTGAGACCTGCTATTAGTTTTGATATTTGTTGGGACCTTAGATGAATAAATTCTACTCCTTGGAACCTGTGTACAATTTTCCCTTTAATCTTCCTTTCACTTTAGAATGTGATACATCCATGGAAGCCATAGGGGTAGTCCTTATGCAAGAAGGGCATCCACTAGCCTATTTTAGCAAAGACTTCTCTTTCTTCAACAGATTCAAATCAGCCTATGATCGGGAGTTTGTTGTCACTAGTTCTTGTAATTCAAAGATGGAAGCACTACCTCATAGGACACTATTTCACTGTCTTAATAGATCACTATAGCTTAAAACACTTACTAGATCAAAAGATTGTAGCTAACTTGTAGTAGCGACTTCTCATAAAGTTATTGCCCTTTGATTTTTCCATTACATATAAATCAAGGAAGAACAATACAGCTATTGATTCTCTCTTCAAAAAGCCTCAACAAACTGGTTTCTGCCAATTAGTGGTTCCCATAGGGAATGATATTGCCCAACTCCCTCAAGCTTTACTAGAAGACCCAAACACAAAAACTATAATTGATAATCTGCAGCAAAACCCGAATCCAACTTCTGCCTATAGCCTAGTGAATGGTAAGCTATACTACAGATCAAGGTTGGTCATTCCCAACCAAGCTGAACTCCATGATAAATTGATAGAGGAAGCACATGCCATACCTATAGGAGGCCATAATGGCTATCCAAAAACATTAAAGCGGTTAAGTGCTCATTTACATTGGAAGGCAATAAAATAGGATGTCAAGCATTTTATATAGAGTTACACAAATTACCGGCAAAATGAGTACCAAACTTTAGCTCCTACAAGTCTCCTTCAACCTCTCCCTATTCCAAAGCCAATTTAGGAGGTCATATCCCTTGATTTCATTACTGGCCTTCTAAAATCCAGGGGTTATGACGGGATCTTAGTAGTAGTTGATAGATTAAGCAAAATATAATCATTTCATGGCTATGTTACACCCCTACACTACTAAGTTCGTGGCTCACCTATTCTGCAAAGAAGCAGTTTGCCCCCATGGAATGCTCAGCTCCATAATTTCTAATCGAGATTCTCTTTTCTTGAGTTTATTTTGGTAGGAGCTGTTCTGCTTGAGCCAAACCCGCTTGAATATGAGCACAGCTTACCATCCTTAATTAGATGGTCAAACATAGGTAGTAAATTGCTGCTTGGAAACTTACTTAAGGTGCTTTTCTCATAAGCAACCTAAAAAGTGGAGTGACTTCTTATGCTGGGTTGAATATTCTTTCAACACTAGTTATCATGTAGTTGTAGAAAAGACCCCATCCAAACTTGTGTATGGTAGAGAACCCCCTCCATAGTTCCATATTTCAAAGGAGAAACGAAAAGCTGGAGCTTAGGGATGACATGCTTAAAGTTCTTCGTGATAATTTGTTGACAGCGCAAAATCGCATGAAGATTCAAGCTAACCGCCACCGCCAAGATCTCCAATTTGCACCGGAGGATGTGGTGTGGTTACGATTACAGCTATAACTCCAAAAATCGTTAGCAAAAAGAAGACTTGAAAAGTTGTCTCCCATATTTTTTTTGGGCCATATAGGGTCCTCCGTCACATCAAGAACGTGTCATATGAGTTAGAGCTCCCTTCAATGACTAAAATTCACCCATATTTCATGTCTCCCTGAGAAGACCTACTATTGGACAGAATTTGCCTCCAATTCCAGCTCCCCTGCCCTTATCTTCATAAATGGAGTTGATGCTTACCCCATTGAGAGTGTTACAACATCGCTAGACAGCTTAGCAAAAACCTAGAATTAGTACAATGGACTGACAGACATCAGAAGAAGCTGCTTGGGAAGAATATGATTTACTAGCTGCACAATTTCCTCAATTTTGACTTGAGGACAAGTTTAGGGGAAAAGTAATTATAAGACTCTTGCGAGATTCAAGCTGACTTATTATTCTAGGAGATAGAAACGTGGCAGAAAAGATTGAGGGGTTCAACGTCTAGTCTATTGCTGATTATTTGTGATTTTATTTTTATTTTTACTATTCCTATTTTTCTGGTTTGTTTTAATTAGTTCAGGAATAAGTGGGATAAGCCCACTAAAACTTAGGAGCAGTCTAGTCAGTTTCATTTGAATTCCTTTAATATTCTGTTGAACTATTTTTTTCACTTTTGCTCTCTGTAAATAGGCACATTGCCTCAGGAATAAATCATCAAATATTTTAGAGAGTAATTTGTTGTGTGGGAGATTCTCCTAGGTCTATTCATAAGTGAGTGTGAGATCCTTACCTTACTTATAAATAGAAGAATTTTTTAGAATTTTTTCTTTTTTTCCGTCTTTATTTTTCTTGATCTTTTCTTTAACTAAATTCGGTCCCTAACATTTTTGTGCCATTTATGTGGTTTTGCAGCAGAAATAATTGATCATCTATTTTTGAAATGTTAGTTGTATCGAGCTTTAGGGTTTTTACTTCGTCCTTGGAGATCAGGTCAGATGTTATAGCTGCGGATGGTCTCACGTTTTGGTTGGAAAGGTGGTTAGTGCAGGTAGATACGAGAAAATGGTACGGAGATGACCTCACTGGAGGCGTTAACTGTGGTAATTCTTCATATCATTTGGGATGCAAGGAATATAACACCGCATGGTATAGAAAAGATGAGTCACTATAGTGCCTTATCCCCGTTCGGCAAGATTTCTTTATCATATGGGAATCACCTCTAACAAGTTTGGGGGCTATCTAGTCGTAACAAACACTGGTTTGTTTTTGCTTTTTGATAAGGATCAAAATGCATTAAAATGATAAAAGTAACAAGATAAAGTCACCGTAGCTAAAATATAACAGACAAGGAGAGTCATTAGATCTTTCGACTCTATCCTATGTACTAATTTAACATAAGCCAAAGAGGAAAAAGTAAGAGAGGAAGAAATGTCTTGCTGCAATATGTTGGCTGAAAACCTGTTAGCACTATATCTTGGAATGAATTGTTTCTTGATGCACATTGGTTTGTTGAAGTTAATGATCATTCTAACGTTGGCTGGGAAAAGAAGCGAATGTACGTGTGGTCGCGAAGCTTTTTATAAAAGGAATGCGCTTAAAATCATTGAAGGCAGGGTGATAGTTGTTTTTGTCAAGGTACCTTTCGTGGGAATCAAACTTTGACTTGAATCTTCTAATATACTTATAAAATCTCGTAATACCCACTAATGCTTAAATGAGTCGGGTTACAGATCCATACTTTGTTTCTTATCTAAATTTATTTTAGCTTCATGCATCCCTTTATCTTCTCCATCAGTTTCTCATATAATTATAGTGGGTTATTAATAGTAATTCAATCCATTCAATTTTATACAGATCTAATATTTTTATGGCCAAATAACCTAAATTTGTATGCCTATATGCTATCTCTCCACATATATGTGCCTTATTTTTATTTTATATAAAAAACATATTTTTAAAAATACACAGCAAAAGAAGAATATTTTGGGGTGGGGAGAAATGAGAATTTCTTGGAATAAGAAGGGCTATGAATACAATCTATATGTATATGCCTTTTTTTTTTTAATTATTTTATTTTATAAAAGAAACGTTATATTTTTTAAAATACACAGAAAAATATGAATTTTTCAGAAAAATATATCCTAATTGTTTCAATAAGTGACAAATTCAGGTAAAAATAAAAATCAGAAGTGGCGAAGAATACAAATAGAATGACATATCCTAATTGAATTAAATATGTAATATACCTTATAAAGATATTTCACTTATTTTAAATCCAATCATATATGCACAGGGAGAAATTTCTAGTTTCACCTGCAAAATGACTTGCAGTGCTTGAGCTTCTGCGCCAGACTTTGCTTCATTTTCAGCATTCTCAAATCTTCATTACAGGGAGGCAGACGTTAACTTCGGTAGATAGATCACAATCACAATACAGACCCTTTAGATTCCCTTTCGCATGGCCGTAAGGTTTTATGGGTTTAGTTCAAGTATCATCTATGTTCCTTAGATTGGTAGGATTGGTGCACGTAGATGTTTATGTTCATCTTCTATGTGTAACCGCTCTAATGATTTTAGACTGTGATGCTGGTACCTTCAGTTCATGCGTTTGTGTAAAGCCATCCGGTTTGGGCTCAAATCCAAGTTTTTGATCAACAGCCAGTTCGAAGTGGCTCTATCCGACTGAACTCATAAAATGGTCCAAACTGTTTGAGCGGACCGCTTGTATCATTGGGTGACAACCGAACCATCCAGTCTCATTTAATTGTGACAACACCACTGCAAAGAATTGACATATTCTACTGATGATTTTTGTTATTTTAAATAGTTTAGTTCCCAGCAAAGTCAAGGACCGAGTATGTCATCAAAGTCACCAGATGCTCCAATTGGATATCTAAGTCCAAGAATTCTAGTCAAGTACCTAAATATTATCTTTGACAGCCAATGTGTGAGAAGTTTTGAGATTTGCTCGGAATGTTACACACTATTAAACATGATATTTAGTTTGCTGGTCATCATATGGAGATCCAATTATGTTTCTACACTTGATCAAACGGTTTTCCTCATTCATCGTTGCCCCACTCACCAATCCTATGACTATCATTATAAGGAATCAATATCTTTATTACGACAATAATTGATGCTATTCTAAAAACTCTTGAAACATGGTCGGCACTTGCCCCTTTTGAGAATTTGCAACTTCGATGTGCAGCTAGCATTACTCTTTATTTATAGTGGATAAAATGTACAATGTACAATGTTAGAAACCCCCACCCTTCGGGAGCAGGGATGGGGATAAAGAAACGAAGATCCTACTCAATTGCATTAAAAATAACTTTACACACACACACACACATGCTGGTTCTTCCATTTACCATGACGCTTTTCTTTTCCTCTCATTTACCAAGATATCTGCTTGCCGATGTGGCATGTGAGCTCGATTTCATTGGCAAAAGCTGATTTTTCTATTCGATATCTTTAACAGCATCCTGCAACATGCCACATAAAAGGGTCACTTAACAAATAATAACCCACATTAGCAATAACAAGATTAGATATTCTAAACCCCCTCCAAAAAGTCAGACCTAACCAGCCACCTCATTAGCCCTAGGTGGCAAGAGTTGAATGGAGTGTTAGTAACCCTTATGATATTACTAAAAAAGGAATAACTTGATCAATTGTTATCAGCACATGCAAACAGAATAAAACAGCTCCTGAACCAAAATTTTACAGGTGTTTTGCTAGGTTTTACTGTTCCTAAAGTTTATGTACTAACATTGTTATTATGCCTTAATCGAGGGATAAAATATAATTTCCTTCTTTATCTCAAGTACACTATGGGGGTTTTTCCTCACCAGAGCAAATTATAGAACCAAATTAACCAACAAAAATTGGAAAAAAAAAAAAAAACTGCCTCAACAGTTCCTAGAATATTCAGTGCAATGATCATCAATATAGTGGTCACCGTGTTCATCTCAGTTCATAAAAATCATTATGAGGTATTTTAGCAACAAAATCCAGGCGTGATTGGAAGTGAAAAACCAAATATAGACGTCCACTTTTATCCACATTTAATCAGTATATTTTTAATGTTAAGTTACTGTTTTAATACAATTACCTGGTGACTGATACTATCACATTGGATTTGAGCATTGTTGAACGGGGCAGATCTCCGTATATGGTCCCCCCCCCCCCCCCGGCCCATAAGGTTTGAGAAATTGAATCCGTTCTATTTGACCAGCCACAACTGGTTATTATAAGTGCCTGGGTATTACACCTTTATATATATCATACAAGATTTTTAATATACAAGATAAAACACAAATATGAATCTTTTGGTTGGATCAATAATCAAGAGTCAGTGTCTTTACTGATTCAGTGACAGGTTTTAAGAATCCTGAAATAAACAAACTTTCTCCCCTGGTCCTGCGTTTTTCATTTTTATGGTAGTTTTTAATGCAGTAAGTAAGGTCATGATTTGATACCTTTGCAAGCTTAGTGACATAAGCAGCAGCTAATGCAGTGGCCAACAATCCCAAGCCAACAGTCAGCAGCTGGCTGTTTCCTCCGGTTAGAGAAAGATCAGATTCTTCTTGCTGAAATGTCAAAGAATAATGTCTTACTAAAAGAAGCAAAAAAATGCAAATACTCTTAAATAAATAAAAGGGAAAACAAATAAGACTAATAACTACACGATAAGGGGAGTGAATAAAGGGTACAAAATCACTTGAATATATTCCAACATGATTGATGCAGGCAACACAAAGGATTGTTTCACCTAGAATGACAATTTCACCATCCAAGCCTAACAATTATATTTCACCTCTTCCTCTTGAGACAAAGTTCAAGAAAGCAATAAGATAGTACAAAGAGATAAAGGATTAAACAGCCCCCTCACACAACCAAAGAACTAGGACCCAAAAAAAAAAAATCCATCCGAACAGAAACCATCCTACCTCCAGCCCCAAAAAAAGTTACAAGAAAAAAGAAGTAAATAAATAAACAAAATAGCAACCAAGGAAAGTCCAATTGGTAAGGATGAGGCCCATACCACACAACAGCATAAGTTCAAATCTTACAATTGGTCTATAAATGTTCTCTTGTAACATAACTCAACTGAATTTTTTTCTTTGAATAATAATAATGTTCTAGACATTCTAATTGAGCCAATTCAAGAAGAAATCCCTAAGTGCATGTTTTTTGCTGATGACATAGCTCTCATGACTGAATCAAGAGAAGAGATTAACTCTAGATTGAAGTTATGGAAGACCTTGGAGTCAAAAACAGAATACATGCATTGTAATTTTGGGGGGAGGCAAGTCAATGGTGATTTGGAGGTTAAGTTGGAAGATCAAATCATCCCTCAAGTGTCAAAGTTCAAATATCTAGGATCTATTATTGATGGAGACGTTTCTCATAGAATACAAGTTGGGTGGTTAAAGTGAAGGAAGGCTATCAGAGTTATTTGTGATAAGAAAGTACCTAAGAAGCTTAAGGGAAGATACTATCGCACTGCTATAAGACTAGCTGTGTTATATGGTAGTAAATGTTCGGATCTAAGGGGAAAACAAGAGCATAAAGTTAGAATAGCAGAAATGAGGATGTTGAGATGAATGTGTGACCACACAAGAACAAAGAAAATTTGAAATGAAAATATCAAAACAAGAGTAGGTGTGGAACTTATCGAAGAGAAAATGGTAGAACATCGTTTGAGGTGGTTTAGGCATGTGTAGAAAAGGCTATTAGAGGTACCGGTGAGAAGAGTAGATTAGACAGTTTGGAACCATTTAAAAAAGAGCAGAGAAAGACTCGGAAGAACACTCAATGACTTCTAGTTAACAAGAAGACGTCATGTGATCAATGTAACTGACCCCACCTAGTGGAATAAGGCTTTTTGTTATTTTTGTCGTTGTAATGATAACGGCATGCCTCTTTATAAGACGATTGTCATCAATAACTGATTAGGATGGCTTCATATCAGTTCAACCATTATTAGTTGTTAGTTACAATCAATGCATCCAAGATTTGGACAATATGATTATCATCACTGGGTCCTTGCTAATAGTAATTCATCTATGACATCATTTAGAGTAGCTTCACAGCATTCTATTCCAGACTCATCACTTTCAACTAGAGAAGAAATACAACTAAAAGGGAAGCTAGAGTATCCTCCTCCATAAAACACAAAAATAGGACATAAGAGAAATCTAAGCAGCTCAAAAGCAAAGCAAAGCTTCAATTTCTCAGCCTATCAGAAGTAAAGACACTCATAAAGATCCCTGTACGAAGCATGGAAGAGAAGCAAAAAGTAAAAATCCACCCTTGTCAGAAGTAGATGTAAAGGTAACGAGATAACAGTGAAAATCCAGAATTTTCCCTGACAGATATACCAGATAACAGAATAACTGGCCAAAAATTTTTCCTTTCCTTGACAAAACCTTGATAGTAAGTCAGAAGAAACTGCTCAGGAGATTCAAGATAAACCTGCTGTTTTCCTCGAATTCTATGCCTCATTTTTTTCCCCCGGGGGGGGGCCCAAAAAAAAGGCCAGTGTTTATGAATTAGAACAGCAAGATGCACAAACTAAGGTAAGCAATGGAATGACACAAATATTTCTTAATTTTTGTCACAGCTAAAGGATTTCTATTTTTACTGATAAACACCCTTTTTATAACAGCTTCTTCTATCTTCTTGGCTTGTAAAAGTTTGGACTTCGTTTAGATTATAAACCATATGCAGAACAAGAAACAGCAGTTGCAAAACTCAAAATCATATGCCTATGCACAGTTTAGTTTGTAATACAGACTTCAAAGTACAGTTTCCCGAAAACAATAAACCAACACAGTCTGTGTAATAATAACATCAAAATGTGATTTAAAAAAAGACTGTAGTAAACATGTAATGTGCTGTGCATGTGGCTAAAAGAGGCAGTTTTTCCGCCTTGTTTAGTAGCTTTCTTCAAAATATGGTTGAACTGTGAGCAGTGCTTGCTTTTCATTACTTTAAAGGGTTATTTGGATTAGCTTTTCGGAAGTGATTTTACGGTATACAGAGTAAGTATATGTGTTTTGTCTTGACTTGCATGAAAGCATTCTCTCTTAGTGATTGTAGGGGTTTGCCAAACTACCCTTAAATGAGTTTATAAGACTTCTTCTAATCCAAATTAAATATTAAGTTCAATAAATAGAGTAACCTTACTTTAATATAGAAGAGAGGTTCATGTGCAACAACACATCTAGGGACAGTAGCTATTCCTAGCCGTCCATCAAGACTCCAGCATCTTAATTATCGTGCCACTAACGGGATACAGGAAATATCTGCATGCATTTTTTACCTTATACTGGCAAGCAAGCAGCTCAATTAAAACATGATTCAAAACACATGGAAGAACTCCTTTCATTTCATAGATACACCAGCACATGCTTGCTTGCTACAAAGCACACAGAAACCCAAAAGAATGCTCATTTTGGGTTATTTTGTAATTCCAAATTCCACAATGGTGCTACTGTCAAGTTTCTGAGTTAACAAAAAACTGTTAAGTGTTAACTGGACTCCTTTCACAAGTTCCTGATTCTAACATCACATAGCATGATATGTCTTGCAAGCACGTTGAAAAATTTTCCTCCTTAAGCAGCCTGCAAGCCAAATACTGCCTCCAGGTACCTTTCATAGTAATCAAGTCATGGTAACCAAGTGCCATGGAAGAGTTTAACAATTGGCTTTTCCTTAGGTCGATTTCATTCCTTATAATTCCATTCAATCTGTCGTACCATTACCTAATAAATCTAAACATGAAAGTTTAGTTTCTAAACCTTGTTAAATCATAATATAATGTGCTTAGAGTAATAATCATTGTTCAGGCATTTTAACGTCCCAAGGTCGGTTAACAGTAACTCAGCTGATCTATCACATTGGAAAAACATTAATCCATATAAACCTTTCAGTCATGAACCCACTATCTATCATTTTGCCAGTTGCAGTATGCTTTGATGGCATTGTTAGTTGCAGCCATATTTCGCTAGAAACAGTGCCTACAAAGTCTTCAGCACCATTCATCTAATGCTCTAAAACCATTTTGTACCAATATCGCAACATGGACTAAAAGAAAATAAAAATGAAAGACAAAACGCCAAAAGGCAAAAGTTTAAAATGGACAAACAGTTTACTGAAACTTCAGTTGTTTTGGAGCATGGGGTAAGTGTGCACAAACTTACAATTATTGCTCGTCCAAATGCACCAGCACTGACATAAGCCCATGTCCCTGGAAGCATTCCCAGCCAACTGCATCAAAATTGTTGATTATTGTACTAATAAATCAGAAATGCAGAAAAACCAAGCGTTTAAATCAAAATGAGTAACTGGTTTAAAAACTGAACTGCCCGCATCTTCAAAGGCTTTCCCTACACTTGTTATGAGAGAGTATTGTGCTTTTTCCTGAACTGATTTAATGTTTTCGTGTCTGTTATGGAGAGAGATTGGATGGATTTATTGTATTTTGTAGCCTCTCAAGCCTTCAGATCTTCATTTATTTTTGGTTTTCTAAGATATGTGATAATGGAGGGTATTGGAAGTGGGCTTTCGTCCATTGAGCCCATTTAATTTGTAACCCTATCTCTGTTTTATGATTTGTTATCTTTATCTTTATTGTCATTAAATCATATCCCTCACTTTATTTTGTCAATCATCGAGAGAGGATTGTATGGGATTGTCAACCTCTCCCTCTACGTACTGATCAGCGCTTGGTTAATAAAACATTCAATTCTGCACTGCAAACTCTCACAGGGTATCCAATTGTCATTGCTTGGATGCAATTCTCTTTTATCTCTACTAATACTCCTCCTGTCCTAAACATAAGACCCATTTTGTAGTATAAATCTAAATATAAGAACCATTTTTTATTGTAATTTACAGTAAAAAGTGAGTCTTATATTTAAGACCGGAGGAGTACTATTTTTATCATATAACAAAAATAGTACACACTTAGCTTATAACAGTTTAGTTAATAAATTAATCATTAGTGAACATTACCACATCAATAAACCATGTGGAGACATTACCATTAAGTTCTTCGGTTGAATATACCATAAAAGTGCCATCCTTACATTTCAGCATTCCCAGTTCAAAATGGGGCCACAAATAGTAACTACCGAGTATTAGCAGATAATTAACATCAAAGAGTTTCTCTTGTCCACAACTGTTTAAAAATTTATGTTGCTCAGTATATAGTCAAATTTGCTTTATTATCATCTCCAACATGCCTCCTGAAACAAAACTCCTTTTAAGGTAAAAGTGAGCACAAATTAAAGATAGGTACATTATAACATTTACTGAGACTTGTTTTGAATATTTAAAAGAATACGGGGAAGTAAAGATCAAACTCATGACTGCATCATTATATAGAAGCTTAAATACCATGACAAGAAACCATTTCACCCACAAGTTTCTGTTATAACATCTAACATCGATAAAGAAAATAAGATGTAACTACAAAGTATTTCAGGTAAAACTTGCTGCAAGTATTTTATCACTTATCAGAAAAAGGTATATTATTGGTTACTTAATGGCTGCTCGAAGAAGATACATGCCATATAAAATAGGGATACGAGGGAACCAAATCTAAATTGCATATGCATTAAAGAAACATGAAAGGGAAAAAAAATTATTTTTACTTACAGGGAGAATGAAGCTCAATCAAGTTTATAAAACTTTGTTCTTTTCCTTCATTACAAGCACAACTAACCTGATTGAGATAACAAAAAAATACTATTCATATCCATGGGTCTTCACCTAATAGCTTAAGCTTTTCGATTCAAGTTGTTCGTTGACAAAACCAAGCACATTATATTTTCTGACTATAAAGTTGAAAGTTGAAAACTCAGCAATATGCAGAGTTAGGTTTCAAGAAAAGAAAGATAAATCCTCTGATTGAAGATAAGCATTGAAATTCACTCAATAATGCATTAATCAGTCTTAAGCATCATACCTTCCCAACACATATGGAATGAACTTAACAGATGTCAATCCATACAAGTAATTCCCCAGAGAAAATGGAAGTAAAGGGCTCAAGCGAAGCAAGGTCACAACTTTGAAGCCATTTTCCCCAATTGCTTTGTCAATAGCTAGAAACTTTTTATTTCCTTCCACCAATTTTAGAATACGCTCACGGGCAAAATATCTTGCAATCAGAAAAGCAACACTAGCTGCCACCTGGAATGCTCCAAAAATATTAGACAAAAGAAAATACATTCCTACATTTGGGATCAGTTGCCATTAATGTGTAAGATTTCATAAGTTGAGCAAATTGATTTCACATTGAATATAATTTTCAATGATCCAATCATTCATTTGTAAGCAATTGTTAAGTTGATATCACGCAGTTATGAGATAAGACTTTTTTATTGTTGTTGTAAGCATTATCAAGTATTAAAATACGTAGCTCATGCTTTATTAACTTTAAAAAATTTAACAAAAGCACTGTTTAATTACCTAAGCAAGTGTCTGAATCATAGAAAATCGATATTTATGAGAATTTAAAAGCATGATCGACAAAATGAGATTGAACCCAATAATAGACTCTGTGATAGCACTGGGAATATGGACCATCTCCAATCATATGAAGTGGCCTAAATGAGATGCTGTGCAAAATGAGCTAGGTTGTGCCAGCCCATTTTCATGTGGGTCTAGACCATGATGATTGATGGGCTAATACAAGCCAACCCACGAACCAACAAATCTTTTTTTTTTTTTTTAATTCTCATACATTTCAATAATTTCTAAAAACATAAATCTAAGTCATGCAACCCCCATAACAAATTGTAAAGCCACCTATTACATGATTCACATAATCTAATCTAAAATTTTCAATAGCATACCATACTCTAAATTCTTCATCCACACCACATTTAAGAAATTAGATTTTGGCTTGTGTGGCTGTGTCCTTAGGTTAAAAAACTGTTATACAGGCCAACTCATGAATTAAATAAGTTATCACATTTCACCCTTTGCTTAAATAGTCTGAGCGGACAAAAGCCCATTTTTATTTGGGCTGAATTTTTTATAACACAACCGGCCTAACGAAATGAGTTATACAGTACCCATCGAGTTGGGCCTCTATTTCAGGTTTTACCTTGCAGTAAGTTATCTATGTTAAAAGGGCTTGTTTGACTGTGTTTTTTATTTTTAGGTTCTCAAAACAATTTTGGAAAATTATTTTTCATAACAAGTTTTGGGAATAAGAAATCAAAAAAGATCTATTTGAATCATTTGTTTTGAAAATCACATGTAAAGACAAAAAATAAAAGTTAAAAATCCATTTGAAAACAAATTTTGAGTACAACGGTGAATGATGGCAAATAGTGGTGGCCTGTGGCTGGTGGCTGCTGGTGGTCGGTGATTGTCAACAATAGACAGTGATGGTGGTGGCAAGCAAAGAATGACAGCAGGCAGTGGCAACTCATGACAGGCAGTGGTGGGGGTGGTTGTTAATTATGGTTGGTAGTGGGCAATGGCAATCAGTGGCAGATGGAAGTGGGAAGCAAAATTGTCAGCAGTAGTCAATGATAGTCAATGGCAAATGAGAACAAAGACAAAAGGAGAGGAAAAAAGGAACAATCAAGTTGTTCTTTTCTTTTTTAAAGGAAACAAACACCCATAGAAGAACAAACAAGTTTTGAGAACAGCAAAGAGAAAACACTAGTCCAAACAATTTTTTTGCTTTATTTGTCTTTTTCAGGGAAAAAGCAGTAGTTTTGAAAACAGTAATTAAACAAGCCTTCTGGCATAAATTGTTCACCAGTGGACGTTGTCTATATTGGTTTGGTCAAATAGAATTAATTGAAACTAAATCAGTGGCATAAACTGAAGCTATGTCACCAATATAAAAAGTCAATAATAGACCATCTGATAACTTCTAATATCTGATAACTTCATCAAACCATAATTAAATCATGTGTGATTCTGATAAGACCGACCTATTTAAAAATACCTATAAGAGGCGACAGATGCAGAAGCAAGCAAAAGGCAACAGTCCTTTTTAAGCAACCAGGGAGTTGACTTTTATTTCATACCTTTTTGAAGAAAGTAGCATAGTCCAATGTCTTTTAGGTCTGTGTACTAGGTTATGGTATTTTGGGAGACTGTGCTGGTCACTTTTGAATATATTGGCCGATGTAGCTTGAGGGAGGTAAGACATATTTTGTATGAGAGAATCGTGAGGAGAGAGCTGACCTCTCGAAAGTCAGGTCTAATGTATGCATTGTGAGTGTGTGAGTTGTTTTGTGACTTCCTTTCTCACACTGAGTAGGAAGAGTGTTATTGATTAATCATTTTGAGCATTGTTCCACGGTTAAGGTCCCCCTTTTACTGTTTTATTAGTTGTAAACCCATTGTTTCTGCTCTTGGTTCCTATCATTTGGTATCAGAGCGGTGAGATCTCTCGGGTTTCAGTACGAGTATGGCGGAGAAGGAGGCACTGGGGGTGCAGGAACTGCGGGCAGAGATGCAGGAAAGGTTTGGTGGACTGCTGAGGGACATGGCGGTCTTTAGGGAAATGATATTGAGGATGGACGCAACTCTGGAGCAAATGCAGAAAACGGCAGAATCACCAACCATAAAGAAGACCCCACTTCGAACGGAAGAGGAGGCGGACAGTCATGGGGGAGAAAGGGACTTGACGAGATACAGGAAACTCGAGTTACCTATTTTCGCCGGTGAGGACCCAGTCAGCTGGTTCTTTCGCGTTGAACGCTACTTCCAGGTCAATGCTGTCCATGAGGAGGAAAGGTTGGCAGCGGCAGTGGTGTGCCTTGAAGGGAAGGCCTTAAACTGGTACCAATGGAGAGAGACAAGGTATCCGGTACGAAGCTGGTCTGACTTCAAGCATGAGCTACTGAAACGTTTTCATTCTTCACAGAGAGGGGGGGAGTATCAGTTGCTGTTTGCGACCAAGCAAGAGAACACGGTGGTCGAATATGTGGAAGAGTTCGAGCGCCTCTCTGCGCTACTTAAGGACGCGTCGGAGGAATGCCTCATCGGCGCCTTCATTAACGGGTTAAGGGCCGAAATCAGAGCAGAGTTGAAGGTGACGGAGGTGACCACTCTCGGCGACCTGATGGAGAAGGCAATCTGCGTAGAAGAGAAGTTCAGAATAATGGATCAGGAATTGGGCCCTAGGGTCAACCGAGCCCAAAAGGTCTCCAGTGGGCCTAAGACGGTAGCCAACCAACCTTTTTTTTCACGTGTTACTCATATACCGGAACCCACACGAGGATTTGCCTCTGCAACGTCACTCCTTAATGCTGAAAACATGAAGAAGAGCGAGCAGCGAACAGGGGAGTCGAAGGTCGCGAGTAGTGCCACTGCAGCTTCAGTCAGATCGAACGCAGGCTCTCGCCGGCTATCTGATGTAGAGATCAATCGAAGGAGAGAGTTGGGACTCTGTTTCAAGTGTGGGGATAAATACGGACCTAGTCATCGCTGCAAAAATAAGAATTTGCAGTTGATTGTACTGGAGATGGAACCTGAAAATGATGAAGATATTATTGAGGACGGTTTAAGAGACGAGGGGAATGGAGAAGGTTCAACACAAATGAAGCTGTCCCTAAACTCCATGGCTGGGTTCGGTGACAATCATACCATGAAGGTGAGAGGCCGTTTAGTAGGGGAAGAGATTATCGTCTTGATTGATAGTGGGGCCACACACAACTTCCTCTCTGAAGAATTACTAAGCAAACTGAACCTGGATGTTGACGAAATTTCAGAGTACTCCATTACAGTGGGTGATGGTTATTCTCTCAGGAGGACGAAACGGTGCAAAAATGTGAAACTGACGGTACAGGAGTTAGAGGTGGTTCAAACCTTCTATCCGTTTCCTTTAAGTGGGGTAGACGCCGTGCTTGGAGTAGAGTGGTTAAGGTCCCTAGGCGAGGTCAAGGTAAACTGGGGGCAGTTGACCATGAAAATTGGTAAGAAGGAGAACCGAGTATGCCTGCAAGGGGAACCAACTCTTTCACGCACCCAGGCTTCCTTAAAATCACTGCTCAAGTCAGTCAGAAGAAGTGGCCAGGGCTTCCTAATCGAGTACAGGGGAATTGAATGGGACATGAAGGAGAACGCACATTTGTCACCCGAGGTACAGAACCTGTTAAACAAATACTCGGAAGTTTGTAGAGCCTCAGGGGATCTGCCTCCACACCGTCCGCAGGACCATGCGATTGAAATAAGGCCAGGAGAACAACCACCCAATATCAACCCTATCAATACCCACATACACAGAAAAACATTATCGAAGATATGGTGAAGGATATGCTCAATGCTGGGATCATACAGCTGAGTAACAGCCCCTATTCGAGCCCGGTGCTTCTGGTCAAGAAGAAAGATGGGAGTTGGCGCTTCTGTGTGGATTACCGTGCTCTCAATAAAATAACCGTGCCTGACAAATTTCCTATTCCCGCCATCGACGAGCTGCTTGATGAATTAAGAGGGTCAACAGTGTATTCTAAACTGGATTTGAAGTCGGGATACCATCAAATCCGTATCAAGACAGGAGATGAACACAAGACCGCTTTTCGCACTCATGAGGGCCATTATGAATTTAAGGTGATGCCTTTCGGTCTTACAAATGCCCCCTCTACTTTTCAATCACTAATGAATGATATATTTAGAGAATACTTACGAAAATTTGTGTTAGTTTTTTTTGATGATATACTCATCTATAGCTGTGATGTTGAGACCCCTTGAAGCACCTAGAGAAGGTGCTGTTGATTTTGAAGGCAAATCAGCTAGTGATTAATCTTAAGAAGTGCAGCTTTGTACAGCCAAAAATTGAGTATCTTGGCCATATTATATCAAGGGAAGGAGTGCAAGCCGACCCCGCAAAAATTGAGAGTATGATCAAATGGCCAGTGCCCAAGAATGTTAAGTCTTTAAGAGGCTTTCTAGGGCTGACCGGATATTATAGGCGGTTTGTCAAGAATTATGGGAAGATTGCTCGACCACTCACTGATTTGCTGAAGAAGGATGCTTTTCATTGGACCCAAGAAGCTACTGCTGCATTCGAGCAATTAAAATCTGCAATGACTCAACTGCCGGTGTTGGCAATGCCGGACTTTTCAGCACCTTTTGAGCTCGAGACTGATGCCTCTGGTACTGGGATTGGGGCTGTGTTGATGCAAAAGGGGCAACCGATCGCTTATTATAGCCAGAAACTCTCCAATCGAGCACAGCAATGTTCGGTTTATGAGCGGGAACTCATGGCTATTGTGATGGCAGTCAAAAAATGGAGACATTACCTCTGGGGACAGAAATTTGTAATCAAAACTGACCAGAGGGCATTAAAATATTTGCTGGAGCAGAAGGTCCTAGAAGAAAATCAGCAAAAATGGGTCTCTAAACTGTTGGGATTTCGTTTTGAAATTTTATACAAGCCTGGCAAAGAAAATAGAGCCGCTGATGCGCTTTCACGACAAGAAGATGTCAAAGAGATGAGGGGGTTCTCGCTGTGGCAATGTGCAGATTTAGAAGATTGGGAGAAAGAAGTCCAATCAGACCCCAAACTAAGGGGCATCCTACAGCAACTCATCGCCGAGCCGGAAGGAGTTGAAGGATACAGCCTTGTTAAAGGTTGTTTGCACTATAAGGGCAGATTGGTGCTGCCCAAACATTCCAGTCGAATCCCACTATTACTCAAAGAATACCATGATTCACCTATCGGAGGTCATTCGGGCTACTTAAGGACCTATAAGCGGCTGGCCAGTGTTGTTCATTGGGAGGGTATGAAAAGGGATGTTCAAGCTTATGTGGCTCAGTGCGCAGTGTGCCAAAGGAACAAATACCAGGCTCTCACTCCCGCAGGGTTGTTGCAGCCACTTCCAATTCCTCAAGCTGTGTGGGAGGATATAAGCATGGATTTTATTACGGGTCTCCCTAAATCAAAACGGTATGACACTATTTTGGTGGTGGTTGATAGACTCACAAAATATGCCCATTTTCTACCCCTCACACACCCTTTCACTGCTAAAGATGTGGCTGAATTATTTATTCATGAAATAGTTAAATTGCATGGGTTCCCAAGGACTATTGTATCAGATCGGGATAGGGTGTTTGTGAGTCACTTTTGGACTGAGATGTTCAAACTCGCAGGCACTCAGCTGTGTCTTAGTTCTGCCTACCATCCAGAATCAGATGGTCAGACAGAAGTACTCAACAGGGGGCTGGAAACTTATTTACGGTGCTTTACTAATGACAAACCCAAGCTCTGGGCTAAGTGGCTACCATGGGCTGAATATTGGTACAACACCACACACCAAAGTGCTGCCAATATGACCCCTTTCAAGGCTGTCTACGGAAGAGAACCCCCCACCTTCTTGAAGCTGCAGAATGAGTCCTCCACTGTTGATGCAGTCACGGAGCAGATCCAAGACTGCAATGCCATTATTGATCTACTTAAGGGGAACCTGCTCAAAGCACAAGAACAGATGAAGAGACAAGTAGATAAACATAGGAGGGACGTTCGGTTTGAAGTAGGAGAGCAGGTGTATGTGAGGATTAAGCCATACAGGCTACGCACTTTGGCAAAAAGGGTGAATGAGAAACTCAGTCCACGGTTCTATGGCCCTTTTAAAATTCTGGAAAAAATAGGAGCAGTAGCCTATCGCCTTGAACTCCCTCCTACAGCACGAGTGCACCCAGTTTTTCACGTCTCCAACCTAAAGAAATCCGTCCAGCAAGCAGTGGTGAACCCAACAATTCCCCCGTTCCTTACTGAACATCTGGAATTACAGGTTCAGCCTCAAGATATTTGCAAGGTCAGAAAGCTTTTAAATGGTCAAGTTGAAGTGCTGGTCAAGTGGAAAGATCTTCCGGATTGTGAAAATTCTTGGGAAGATGCAACTCTCTTTGCCTCACAATTTCCTACCTTCCCCCTTGAGGACAAGGTGAAGCTTATAGGGGCGGGTAATGATAAGACCGACCTATTTAAAAATACCTATAAGAGGCGACAGATGCAGAAGCAAGCAAAAGGCAACAGTCCTTTTTAAGCAACCAGGGAGTTGACTTTTATTTCATACCTTTTTGAAGAAAGTAGCATAGTCCAATGTCTTTTAGGTCTGTGTACTAGGTTATGGTATTTTGGGAGACTGTGCTGGTCACTTTTGAATATATTGGCCGATGTAGCTTGAGAGAGGTAAGACATATTTTGTATGAGAGAATCGTGAGGAGAGAGCTGACCTCTCGAAAGTCAGGTCTAATGTATGCATTGTGAGTGTGTGAGTTGTTTTGTGACTTCCTTTCTCACACTGAGTAGGAAGAGTGTTATTGATTAATCATTTTGAGCATTGTTCCACGGTTAAGGTCCCCCTTTTACTGTTTTATTAGTTGTAAACCCATTGTTTCTGCTCTTGGTTCCTATCAGATTCAGAGCTTGTTGCATTAACCATGCAGAATCCATTTTAGAAGAGCTGAATAAAGATACTGAATAATATGAAATTGATTTTGTTTTACAATCGCATAAATTGGATCTAAACATCTATATCTGTATATGAGTTGATTGTGTGAGTGTGTGTGTAGAGAGGGAGATAATGATTCACCGTTCCACTAAGAGAGACTATGATAGTTCCAATAACAGATCCAAAAAGAAGTCCTGCTGACATGGTTAAAGGAATGGCAGGAATTGCAAGGACCTGGGACCATAATTGAGGAGGCAAAGTCAGATCTCAACAAATGAAAAGAATCACTTTAGGTTTCATCCAAAAGAAAAGAACTCCAGAATAAACAGTGCATGCACACTATTCTGATTCACTTGGTAACATGCACTTTCAAGACTATAGTTAATAAAAAGAAAAGAGGGATGCAGGCATGTTAACATTATCAAACTACTCCGATTCACTTGGTAACATGCAGTTTCCAGACTATAATTATTAATAAAAAGAAACAAAGGATGCAGGAATTTTAACACTATCAAATACTGCATTGAATTGAGTTACAAATCTGTCATACTAGAAGCCTGAATAGCAGCACGTGTTCAAGGAAACAGTAGATGCATCCTCACCTCCAAGCCAGCATAAACGGCCACAAACAATGCATATCCAACTGGACCATAGCCTGCTTGTTAAACACCAAACAGGGTTAAGTCAAATTTACAGAAAATAATATGGAAACATGTGAAATTTAAAAAAAAAAAAAAATTGAGGATAGAATCATGCTCTTTAAGGAATCACGTGGATACTTATAGAAATCGTAGCAATAGGAAAACTTTACTATCTTAAACTCAGGCATAAATACAGACAACAGCCAGGATCTGGAATATTACAAATATCTCCTAACACCCAAACTATAAAGTCAGTTCAAGTAACGGCTTATTAATCCTAGTAATCTTAACAAAATAATAATTGACAAAGGTCTTTGAAATATATCAAAGTCCACTGATTTAATTCTCCCGTGTTTCGTGAGCCGTCCCCATAAAGCACATCGCAATTGACAAGTACAATGAATTTGTTTTACATGAGGGTAGAGGAATGAACAGAAAGGGGAAAAGGCATGAATTCTGTTTGAAATGTTATATGCCCAAATTACAGACTAATGTCAAAAGGTGGGAACCTGGTTCAACCTGGCACTTGGGTCACCAGAAACTTGAGAGTATGCAAGAGAAGCCAAGCAACCACAGACAGTCGCACAAAGGGTTAAATTTTGGACTATCGAATTGCATGCTTGCCTTTCATTAGATGGGCTTCAATTTACATGTTATTCACATGGAAGCTTCAAAGAATAAATGAAAACATAGGCAGGAAAAAAAAAAAAAAAGAATAAACGAAAACCTATATCATCTAATACTCTATCTTTCCTCTGGTATTTGCTTTTTCTCCTGTCATGGAGAACTGTAGGTTTAAGCTACCCTTTTGTTTCTTTTTCTTTTCTCTTTAAATTCTACTCTTCCATTCTTCTTTGCAGTAAGCGTGTCAACTAGTTAAGTCAATCAAAACATTCCATTAAAAGAATTATAAAAGAAGTTAGTGACCTAATTCATCGAATTTATTCAACAACAAATCTACAGAATAATAGATAGTACATCATTTACCATAAAAATCACATTCTGCAAGCTCTAGCTTTTAAGCAACCAGGAAGATGTTGCCTATCCAGATACATATATAGCATCTAACATATTTAGCATAAAATACTAGCAGGTTCATCCAAATTCGATTACTCGGGGATGACAATCAGCCTAACCAGAGATCTCTAGATAAATGAGACATGAGTTAGAAAACTTCCAGTTGTATGCCGAGATAAATTCCCATTCCAAATATCACATCAAATTCTTAAAAAATATTGTTTCACTTCCTGTAGATGGTAACGTCCAACAATATTCAGAAGCTGTTAATTTCTAAATTATGATACAAATGATAGCTGAAAAAATTTTGGAGCATCTGTTGACTTAGCTATCTCGAATTATAGAAGGTGCTCCCAATCATAACCACAATTCTATTAGCAACTTATCGCATAAACCTCCAATGGACCTCAAGTGACGAAAATGTGAATCGCACTGCTTGAGGCTTGAGGTTCATGGGATACTTTACCTTCTATGAATGTGGAAAACTGATTCAAGAAGATGTTAATCTGGTCCTTGTAAATGTAACCAACACAGGCGATGCCCCCAACAACGCCCAGCAATAATACGCCGCCCAATAGAGTGCCCTTCAACGCAGTGTCACCCTCTAATCCAGAATCTTCTTCATTCTTGTCTCCACCACCACCATCGTCAGCGCTCTTAGGGTTAAATAGCCGGTTTATACTACTACCAGACGGAGCGTTTTCGGGAGTATCGCTCCTCCTCACTTGCTGTTTCTTGGTTTGTCTGAGCGAAGAACATGGAGATAGAAAGTGAATGCGTTTGCTGGGCCGGAAGCTGAAGAGAAAAGAAGAGAAGTGTTCGGTGGTGTGAAGAGAAGAAGAGGAGAGACATGGCGAGGGTGGCCTCAAGTTGAGGATGGCGCGCATTTTATGGAGCGTGGAGGAGGATGAGAAACGGCGGGGGTAAGAGGACTCGTGCAAGTGACGTGTATGACAATTTTGTTTCCAAGGTGGATCTGTTCGCCATTACTTTTTTGTGGTTCGGATCCCAAATAAAGCCTTGTGGAATTATTCCTCGGCTTCTAGAATATTATCTGCAATAACCCCTAACATTTGAATCTAGATTTAAACTAGCGGACAATAAATTCAAAACATCAAGAAATTTAATATATTTTGCAAAACATTTAAGATTAATATTGTGAATAAAATGGCTGGTCAAAAATATTGTGAAAAAATGACCGAGCCCATTTGCTTGAGCTTTTTTTTTTAAAAGAAAAGGCAAAATGACATATTAAAATTTACGTAGTACTAAAAACAAGAAGGAAAAAAGACTATCCCAAAAAACTAGAAAATATGTTAAAAGGAATTAATATATAATAGGAAGAAAATGAAAATCATGAAAAAGAAATAGGATCTCCTGCCAAGTGATCGTTAAAGACTATTGATGATAAGTTACCTTCAATGTCAAAAAAACTTTATCAAACCAAATAAGATTTAAAACATGATGCTCTTCCAATTTGCTTATATCAGAATTACAAATCCAAAGTAGAGAATTTCAGAGGCAGTCAAATAAGAATGGTAGATCATGCTCAGCAATATTCTTCCATAAAAATTCTGTTAAAGCATATCCTTGCTAACAAATAACACATTGAGAAAAATGCTTTTTGAGATGCTTAAACTTGCATATGATAATACTCCACTCTACAAGATTTCTCAAATCATCTTTAGGCATTATAATAGGAATGCAATTTGTGGGCACAGAGTTTGATGGTTTTTCAAAAGTCATGTAAGTAAGGCCAAGCTTGATGTCTTGTATGCCAAATAGCTCCTAGTAAACACATTATCCCATAGAAAAGTTTGAGATGATCATTATGATTAGAGCCGAAAAAAAGGATCGAGCCCATCAGGCCGGCTTGTTTAAACATGAAAATTGTGAGGGTCGGGTTTGAAATTTTTTCCTTCAAATGAGAAATGGGTTAAGAAAGGGCTGGCTCTGTATGACTGAGAGTTTAAACAATCAATCTTATAGGATGAATCAATTTCTCTAGCAAATTGTCTAGTGAAGAACTTGTGGAAGCTACATGTCCTCTTTGAGACTCCCTTGTGTAATATTGTTGATTATTATTGGTCATTCTTTCCAACAGGCTCCAAGTATTATTAGGAGTAAGCTCTATGATTGAGCCATGTGCAGCAACATCAATGCTCTCCTTGTAAGACACCAAAAGTCCCTCATAGGAATATTCTACTAGGTTTGACTTAGAACATTGGTGGTCTGGACATTTGCTCAATAAAGCCAAAAATCTTGTCCAATAGTCATAGAGAGATTCTTTTTTTTTTTTGGTTGCCCAGAGTATCCCCCCACTCGAACGGTAAGAGACTAATCTCTCGAGGTACCACCAAGTGCTGTAATAGGAACCCCTCCCAACAGTGTTTTTTCTATCCACACCGTCTCAAAGATCGAATCCAGGACATGATGTTTAAGATACCCAAGTCTCTTTCACTTGGACCAACACTTGTTGGTTCATAGAGAGATTCTTGATCTTACTGTGATACTCTATAGATTTCTTTCCTTAGTCTTGAAGTCCTTAAGCTTGAAATATACTTATCCAAAAAGGCTTTTTTGAGTTGATTCCACGTTAAAGTGGAATAATGTAGGAAAAGTGGTGAGCCATTGCCTAGCATTACCCTCTAGTGTGAAATGGAACACACTCCTCAAGGCATCATCAAAGGAAACTCCAAGTGACTTCATGGTTGTACAAACTGAATACATAAGATCCAAATATTGATATGGGTCATACCTAGAAGTCCATAAAATTTGGGTAAGGTATTAATTAAACCACCTTTGATTTGAAAACCAAAATCATGAGCACGAAATCCTCTAGATGCAAAATTAATGATTGAATTATTCAACTCCCTATATAGTACTCTAATTATCATCATCAGGATTCCTAGGGACATAGTATTGCATATTTTCAGGTTCCTCTTCATTAGGATTTTGGCTATTAGGGGTTCTATTGGGAGGTCTATTATTTCTATTATTATCATTATTATTGTTATTATTTCTATTGGGACCATCATTTGGACCTTCATTAGGAACTTGATTTTCTTGGTTTTCCATGACAAAGTGATTATCACAAAATTGACTAAGATCAAATTCAAAATTAGATGCAAGTTCAATTGACTCACTAACACTAAATGAAGATGATGAATGAGAGTGTGCACCTATGCTTGGGTCCAAATTTTTATTCTTTTTTAAAAATCTAAGTGTTTTATTTATTTCCTTATCTAAAGAATAAAATGTGTTGTCCTTGGTCATGCACTAAAGCCAATTAAAGGAAGATAGATTCAATCAGCAATAGAGTGCGATAAAAGAGGTCACTGCAGCAACAAGAAGTGTCGCCGTTGCAACTTCTCCAGAGGCGAATTGAACTGAAGAACGAAACTAGCATGTCACGGCAACAACAGTGGTCGCGGCAAAATCAAAATCGGCTAAAGAAATTAACCTGGACGTCGTGGCACTAGCAATTATATGAAGAAAATTCACTAGAACGTCGTGACATAGAGAATAGCCACGACAACCTTGCCACAACACGAGCTTGATACCAAAATATTGCAAATGACAGGACGAATTACTTCCAAATTCAATCAGCTAAGCCAAGATTGATCTCTTTCCAAGAAAAACACCTTATGAATATGCAAAATGAGGTCAGAGATGGTCTAGGCTCACAGAAAACCAAGCCTAAGAAATTATGCAAGTGATGACAGTTAATGAAAATACAGAATAGATGAATTATGCAACAGAAGAATTTTGTGACAGAACCAAATCAAACCAAAATTAGACAAAAGTATTTTTAAAAATCAGACAAAATTAATTATTTTAAATGTTTGGAGGCCTCAAATAATTAAACAAAAATAATAAATAATTAAATTAGAGTTATTATGAGATTATAATAATGATTCCATCCCCAAAAGACGAGGACGGTGACTTTAAAAATATTTAAAGCCTAATTATACTAAAAAAAAGTGATTTTGAGGATATTCAAAAAAGAAATACTTTCAAACCAAGTTTTGACTTGGAAAATATTAAAGAATTTTCTTATAACAAAAGGAAAATATTGTGGCAAAGAGAATACCGTTATGTAATATTGTGCATTGTTCTCTCCATATTTTTTGGGTACATGTTCCCTGCATATTGAATAAGCTGCCAAAGAGAGTACGTTATATAAGCCCAACGATTTTTTCAAAATTTAATTAATTCTTCCAGATTTTTTTAGAGTGGATTTTCATTTTCAGTTAAATTTTTGCATACAATTTCATTATCTTTTTTTTTTGGGGGGTGGGGATCTTATCATAAAAATAGGGTGAAATATATGGTTTTAGACTTTTATATAAAACTTCAGATGTCGATAAAACTATGTTGGGGAAAAAAAAAAGTCAACTCCCGCCCACAAGTTAAAATAATACAAAAAGATGCATTACTGGGATGCTTTAGTGATTTTATGAACTTGTTTGATTTTTGGTATAGTATTTGCTTGGCGTTAGAGGTGTGAATTTTTTTATTGAATGGAATAAAAATAAAATGAGTCCTAATGATAGTACAAGATGATATGATTTTAACATATTAAATAAGAAAAGAAGCATGTAAGGATAAATTGTTCTCATGATTATGTGATTTCTTCTGATGTGGAAGATATAAGTTGCTTAGTTGACTAAAAAACGTAAAGATGAAATACATAAATGAATTGAAAATAGTTGTGCATGATAGTAGAATTAGACCTAAAAAGAATACAACGAATATTTATGAAGAAATTTTCCATATTTCTCAACACAATTAAAAGTTTTAGGTTATCACCACCACACAAGCTCATCTTGAAGGTTCACCTATCATGTTTCTATTATTCTATCTTTTGCATTAATAATCAATAAAAGTTAAGAGCAATCTCTATTTCATTTTAGACTCTACTCATCAAAACCAGTCTTCACTCATAGTGAATCCTATGTTGCATTATCTAGAGACTAGAGTTAAATGCATAGATGGTCTGGGAACAAGAAAAAGAGGACTCAAATTAGTTTTGTGTACAAAGAGATTCTTAGCAATTCACAGAGACAAGATTAAGTTTGCATGTGAAGTACTTCTTCGATTCTAAATATAAAACTTATTTTACAATGCAAATTATACTACAAAATAAGTCTTATATTTAAGACTGAAAGAATATTTCGTATTTATGATTTGTGATGCGTCCACTTCTGTTACAATGTGATGTTAAATTATTTTAAATGAAAGTTAAATTTATTATTTTTTTCACTCACATAAGACAAGTCTATTCTAGAAGAAAATGCTTTCCGTGCAACACGTGAGGAAGGTGGCACTAGTTTAAATTGTTAAAAAAAAAAAAAATACACCCCCTGCATAGCATGAGGTCTGTAGGCATCTGCGTGGAAAACACAAACACAGTAGAATGTCAGAGTGCTGTAAAACGACAATTTTTTTAAAAAAAAATTAAAAACTAGAAGAATAGGAAAGCACAAGTGAATGATAGAACTTGAAGATTCACATGGGAAATAAAAGATGATGAGCGAATATAATCAAACTAATTCCTTATCATAGTGTACAACTGAACATATATTACTATATATACAAGTTGAATATTGCAGAAGGATAGCCGCGTTATAGAACAAGAATCGATCAGCAAGTTCTCTCCAATAAGGCCCAAATAATGAATTTCTCAATTTTGGGATGCGCTTTAGCAAACGGGAGTCTTTTTGTTGCTTCCTAGATGCTTGCCATCGTTCAGATAGCAGGTTTCTTCTTCTAGGGGTTTACTCGCTTGTAAATATAGGACTTTGAAAAGAACAAGAAGGCAGCCAGCTCCACCATACTAAGAGCAGCAAGCAGAGCATAGAAGTAATCAAGATGAGCACGATTAAGATTATTAGCAAACCAACTATTGTGACCATCTCCACCTGTCACTTTTTCGATGCAGGAGACAACAAAGCTGCTTAGAAAGCTCCCGACACCAAAAATGCTCAAGTAAAGGGCAAGGCCCACACTTCTTAATTCATCTGGGATCTGGTCATAAAAGAACTCTTGCAAACCAACCATTGTGAAACCATCAGAAATTCCAAACAAGACATACTGAGGAATTAACCACCAGATGCTCATTGGAATTGTCACATCAGACATATCAATTAGCCCATAATCTCGAGCCCTTTTGAGTCTTTTCATCTCGACAAAGGCTGCAACAACCATAGAAATAATAGAAAAAAACATCCCAGTTCCAATTCTTTGTAGCATGGAAATGCCAGAGGATTCTCTAGTGATGGCTCGCGCTATAGGAACAACAATGCGATCATAGATAGGAATGAAAATTACAATGGAAAGACTAATGAAGCATTGAAGAGAAGCAGCTGGTACAAGAAAACCAGGCCAAATTTCCCTGTCCAATGTAACACCTTGCTTCGTAAAGAAAGTAGGAGACTGAGCAAACACAACAGCATAAATCAAACTAGTGGCCCATATTGGAAAAAGTCTAAGGATTGCCTTTGCTTCTTCAACCTCATAAACATCACAAACTTTCCCATCTTTTCCAGAACCATCTGGGGCAACTAGTGCTTTGTTAAGGAACCTGTCATCCATATTTGAGAAAATCATAAAATGTCCTATATATCAGTGTAGATAAAATCATTTCAAGAAAGCTTTGTTATGGAATAAACCATCCCTCATTTACTGTAAGGGTCATAGAAATATGGCTTGATAAAGAAAAGGAACTGGCTCAATAGAGAAAATGATTGTAAGTAATAAAAAAGTGTAAATGCATGTCACAACGGTGATAGGAATTTTGCATGATAAAGAAAAGGATCTTGCTCACTAGAGAAAATGATTATGAAAAATAAAAAGTATAAATATAAAACTAACAAAAGAACATGATAACCAAAATCTAGAACAAAATTGCATGACTATTTGGATTGATACATTGATTTTCAATAAATTATCCATTTGTCAATAACCTTGATGCCTAATATCATTTATATTTAGAAGCAAGAATACATCTGCTATTTGCATTTAGCACGTTAAATAATTGAACTTGCTTTGTATAAGCATAGCAGCACATGAACAACAGGGAGAAGAACATGTGTACAATCCTTATCTCCTAAGAAGCATTATAGCAGGCCAAACTAGAGTTTTACTGAATTAGAAAGAGAATATGATTGATTAACGTAAGAAAAGAAAAGGATAGAAGAGTTTAGAGAGAAATAGAAGTAGAAATCAGAGGGTAGAACCATAAAAGAAAGAGAAAAGAGAGGTTTAGAGAGAGAAAAGACTAACAATAGGGAAAACGAGAGAAGGCAGAGACTTATTTGAATAGTGCACTATTATTACTTGAGCTCAAATCATACAATAGGATATCCTTCCTTGTCTATTTATAGGCCTAGCTGAAGGTATCTTAACAAACTAACGGTAAATAGAATTAACAACCTATCTAACGGCTAGTGCCGTTACCTATCCTCATATTTAAAACTAATTACAATAATACATCAGAATATGATATAATCTCTTGCTTATATCCACCAAAAACAACAGAATGCAATATTCTACTGATATTGATACCAGAAATGGTTACTTCTTTAGGCAAAAGAGTAGAACACTCCAACCTCACAAACACTATGACACACAAGCTTTAACAGACCAGAGCAACAAAATCCACAAATATACGAAACTGGCCACAACAAATTAGATAAAGACACAAGGACAAATAAGAAGTGTTAGAAAGCCCCTGATCTTCTCCCTTGATTCTCTCTATTAATTACCCATGATATTAGCTAGAAATTAATTTCCTGATTTCTTGTGATATTGCAATATCTATAATTTATGACTGATTGATTGTAACCGGATTGATTTCTCTCATCCAAACTCTATAAATTGTAACCCAATCATATGAAATAACATGCGAGTGAGTATTATTCAGTAAACTGAAGCATGGTATCAGAGCAAAGGGTTCAATCCGAACCCAGAAAAATTCCTAAGCGTCTGCCGTGAGACAGAGAGAGAGAAAGTGAGGCGAGAGAGAGAGAGTGAGGCATCCCAGATCTAAAGCCAGGAGCAGACCATGGACGACACCGCCCCTCCAGTCCTCACCGGCATCCTCTGATCAGCGCATCCCTTGAAGACGACGCCCAACGGAGCTGCGCATGAAGCCCATGCGCCGTCACAAGCTCTGCACGTGAAGCCCACGTGCCGCCGTTGCCACTGCACGTGAAGCCCACGCGCCGCCGCCGCCATTGCGCGTGAATTCCACGCACCGCCGTCGAAAACTGACAGTACCTCCCAGATATCCAGAAAATGAACCCATCAGAATTCCCACCCCTTTTTAGGTCTGTTCGCAATATTCCAATGGCCCTTATGTCCGATACATCTTCGAATACTCAAAGCACTCCTTCTTCACCAATGGTCGCCTCTCAAACCACTGATCCAGAACCATCCTTAACCTCTGAACATCAAGCTGTGGTGGTGGCTCACAAACTTAATCGTAGCAACTATCTACAATGGTCTCAAAGTGTATTAATGTATCTACGTGAGAAGCGTAAGGAGAAGTATATCAATGGAGAGGCAAAACAACCTTCACATAATGATCCCAAATTTGACACCTGGTTCGCTGAAAATAATCAGGTGATGTCTTGGCTATGCAACTCAATGACTCTCGAAATCAGTGAGGGATACCTCTTGGCAAGCACAACTAAGGAAATCTGGGACGCTGCTAAGAGGACTTACTCTACATTAGACAACATAGCCTTATTGGATCTAAGGATGCAGCTCAAAGATCTGAAGCAAGGAAACTTAACTATAACACAATACTATAGCATTTTGACAAAGATATGGCAGCAATTGGATCTCTTTGAAGTACATCCTTGGAAGGATATGGATGATGCTAATTACTCGAGACAATTGGTGGAAAAAGGACAAACCTATGACTTTCTATTGGGCTTGAATGATGTTTTTGAAGAAGTAAGAGGCAAAATTATGGGTCTAAAACCACTTCCATCCCTATTTGAAGTCTTCAGTATGGTCAAGTTCGAAGAAAACCGGAGACACCTCACTTAGGGTAACCAAACTCCAGTAGATGGCTCAGCATTAGTCACGAGGAGGTCCCCAACATTAGAGGGATCTGAGAAGAAAGGAAACAAGTGGTGCAATCACTGTAACAAGAAAGGCCACACCAGAGACGAATGCTGGAAACTACATGGGAAACCAACCCAAGGGAAGCAGAAACAACGGGAAGATAGAAAGAGCCACCACACCTCCTTTGAAGAAAAAGGTGATGATGGAGACCAGTTGACCAGAGAAGAGCTTCAAATGCTTCGTAAGATACTTGAAAAACAAAACAAATCAAAATCTATCCCCAACGTGAACTTGATTCAGTTAGGTAATTCCATTATAGCCCTTAATGCATGGTAACTAATGATGAGACTTGGATTGTTGACTCCGGTGCTACAAACCACATGACTGGTAATAAGTCCCTCTTCAAAACCCTCAAATATTGCCATGAGAACCTTAGGGTAAAAGTAGCAACTGGACTATATACTAAAGTTGAGGGTGTTGGCATTGTGGCCCTATCTGATGATCTGGAAATCCATAATGTTTTGTCTGTTCCTGCTCTTACTTGCAACCTTATATCTGTGAGCAAATTGACTAAAGGGCAAGTATGTCAGCTAATCTTTGATGATGTTAAGTGTGTTTTTCAGGATTCGACTTCGGGGAGGAAGATTTTGACTGCTAAAGAATAGGATGGACTCTACTACTATGGAGGAAAGAATATGAAGACTGCAGGAGTAAAGAAAGCTATGGTTAGCTCTAATTCTCAGAATAAAAATATAATGTTGTGACATCAAAGATTAGGCCACCCCAGCTTTGATTATATGAAGCATGTGTTTCCAACTTTATTCAATAAAAATTCTTCTCCTTTCCAATACGAAACGTGCCAAATTGCCAAACAAACTCGCGCCTCCTATCCCAAACATACTTACAAACCTACTACCCCGTTTACAATGATCTATATCGACATTTGGGGACCAACCAAAATCAACACCCGAATAGGCACAAAGTGGTTTATTACATTCATCGATGATCACACCTGGGTCACATGGGTTTACCTTATGAAAGAGAAATCCGAAACTTTATAAATTTTCAAAAACTTTCACTCTTTTGTGAGAACCCCATTTCAAACTCTCATCAAAATTCTGAGAAGTGACAATGCCAAAGAGTACGTGAGTGGAGCCTTTAGGGAATTTCTTGAGCAGGAAGGAATCCATCACCAAACCTCATGTGTCTATACTCCTCAACAAAATGGAGTTGCTGAACGAAAGAATAGGCATCTTTTGAAAGTAACCCGAGCTATCATGATAGAAAGAAATGTTCCAAGTCTGTTTTGGGGAGATGCTATGCTAACCGCAGCTTATCTTATCAATCGAATGGCCTCTAAAATTCTTCATTTCAGTACCCCCATTCAAAAACTCCTTGAGACCTACCCCACCTCACCTATCATGAATACCATTCCTCAAAAGATCTTTAGGTGTGTCGTCTTTGTTCATAAACATGATAGGGGCAAACTAGGTGCTAGAGCAGAAAAATGTATCTTCCTCGGGTATTCCTCCACCAAAAAGGGGTATAAGTGTTATTGTCCCACTACCAGAAAACTCATAATCTCCAAAGACACCGTCTTTTATGAGGATGATGCTTATTATCCCAAATTACCCATTCAAGAGGAGCACTATGGAGTAGAATGGCTAATTACACCTGAACCTATGACCAACTCCAACACACCTTCTTGAACCTTCTATACCACAAGAAGAAATCCCTGAACCAGAACCGGAACCAAAAACCCCTAATCCTACGCCTCCATTAGAGCACCAAAACCCCACAAACACTCCTCACCCAATGGAAACCAATGCTGAAATTGATGCAAGGGTGACAGAGCGCTCAAGTCCTCAATTAGGTGAACAGGACAATAGTAGTAGGGTTCCTTCCATTCTAAGGCAGCAACATGATTCCAATCCAGAGTTGGATCCTGAAGAGCTAGGATGGCCTGTTGCACTTAGAAAGAGGGTAAGATCGTGTATTCAGCATCCTATTCAAAAATTTGTCTCCTATAGCAATTTATCTGCTAGAATGCAAACCTTTGTGGTGAATAGCTCACAAGTAAAGATTCCAGAAACATTTCAACAGGCTATGAAAGATCCTAATTGGAAACGCGCCGCATATGAAGAGTTGAGAGCATTAAAAGAAAATAACACGTGGGATATTACCACACTTCCTAAGGGCAAGAAAGCGGTGGGTTGCAGGTGGATCTTCACCCCTAAATTCAATCCTGATGGAAGTATCAACAAGTACAAAGGAAGATTAGTTGCCAAAGGGTACACCCAAACTTATGGGATTGATTATCAAGAAAAGTTTGCTCCTGTGGCAAAGTTCAACACCATCCAGGTACTCCTGTCCCTAGCTGCTAACCTTGACTGGTCCCTACATCAACTAGATGTGAAGAATGCTTTCCTAAATGGAGATTTGGAGGAGGAAGTATACATGGAAATCCCAGATGGAGTAATAGCTCCACCCAACTCAGTTTGCAAACTGAAGAAATCATTATATGGCCTGAAACAGTCTCCACGAGCGTGGTTCGACAGGTTTGCTAAGGCGATCAAAAGGTTTAGTTATATCCAAGGACAAGCTGATCACACTCTCTTCGTTAAACACAGTGATGGAAAGGTAACGATCCTAATTATGTATGTAGATGATATAGTCATAACTGGCAGTGATGAGGTTTCTATCTCCCAACTCAAGAAAGCCCTAGCTAGGGAATTCCAAGTGAAGGACCTAGGACAAATGAAGTACTTTCTTGGAATGAAGGTTGCTAGATCCAAAAAGGGTATAAGTGTGGCTCAACGAAAGTACACACTTGATTTGCTCCACGAAACAGGAATACTTGGGGCTAAACCTAGTGAGACGCCTATGTAAGAGTCATGTAATCTGGAAGTGAAACCAGACGGGGTACCAGTTAACTCAGAAAGGTACAGAAAACTTGTGGGTAAACTGATCTACTTGACTCATACAAGGCCTGACATTAGCTATGCAGTTGGAGTGGTAAGCCAATTTATGCATCAACCCCAGGAAGAACATATGGAAGCGGTATACAGAATCCTAACCTACCTCAAACTCAATCCTGGAAGAGGAATATTCTTTAAAAAGGGGAGTACAAGGAACATAGAGGTCTACACTGATGCAGATCATGGGAGAGCTGTGGATAACAGGAAATCTGTCACAGGATACTGCACTTATGTTTGGGGAAACCTAGTCACTTGGCAAAGCAGGAAACAGACAGTAATCTCAAGGAGTAGTGCTGAAGCTGAGCTAAGAGCTGTAGTCCTAGGGGTATGTAAAGGAATGTGGGCTCAAGGAGTAGTGCTGAAACTGAGCTAAGAGCTGTAGCCCTAGGGGTATGTGAAGGAATATGGGTGATAAGACTCCTGAAGGAATTGAGAATTTCCTATGAAGGACCTGTGAACCTTTGGTGTGACAACCAAGCTAGCATTGAAATGACTAAGAATCCTGTGTATCATGACCGAACAAAGCATGTTGACATTGATCGACACTTCATCAAAGAAAAGGTCAAAGATGGCACAATTAACTTGAGCTATGTGCGCTCAACTGATTAGATTGCGGACATCATGACCAAGCCTTTAGCCAGAGTCAAGTTTGAAGGGCTTCGAAGCAAGTTGGGAATGGTTGACATCTACTTTCCAGCTTGAGGGGGAGTGTTAGAAAGCCCCTGATCTTCTCCCTTGATTCTCTCTATTAATTACCCATGATATTAGCTAGAAATTAATTTCCTGATTTCTTGTGATATTGTAATATTTGTAATTTATGACTGATTGATTATAACTGAATTGATTTCTCTCATCCAGACTCTATAAATTGTAACCCAATCATATGAAATAACATGTGAGTGAGTATTATTTAGTAAACTGAAGCAAGAAGCAAGCAAATGCCATGTTTATGAGATGCCATCTCTCTCTCTCCCCCTCAAGTCTTCTGTCCATAAAGTAAACCTGAATTCCACAAAGCATGTTACCCCTAAAATAATCTTCCACTAGCTACTATAACCATTCAGCCTGCTTCTGAATTTCCTTGAACTGTTCCCATAGGGTCATTCACAATGAATTTTCTCCTATCCCCCCAAGCGTGTTTCTATTGATGTGTTTAGCGTATATAAGGAATAAAAAGTTGGAGAATAGACATCCAACCACTTGGTTTAGTCAACTCACAAACTGCAGCTTCAGTTTTCTCTTCAATGGAATACCGATCAATCTCAACAAAATTGGTTCAACCATGGTCTAGTGGACTTTCAGAAATATTAACAAATGACGTATTATAGTATCTTCACAGGTCTAGCCATACAAATGCTGAATTCATCCATTATTTCGCATATCTTGTGAGCAAAGGCCCTAAAATCTACCTTTGCACTACTTAATGGCTGTTGCCACTTTGGCTTCTTTCTTCTCTATGTGATGACGATTCCCCAAGCTTAAGTGCATTATGATAAAGTTGATCTTCTATCAATAATAGAACCTACCTAATATGCATTGGTGAAGACGTCCTTTCCTATGATTCATTTTCTTGGAAGCATCGCCCTATACCAAAGGACATCTTCAAGCATATCAAACTTTTATAAACTACCTCCACATTGTCTACACGTGGCTTTCTCATTAACAACTAACCACCAAAGGATAGGATTTTTTTTTTTTTTACTCCGATAACCAACATCAGTTTTTTTTTTTTTAAATTTCTGTGCTTTTTAAATTGGAATTGGTTGCTCCGGTGTTTCCTTTAACCAAGCAATTGTGGTTTTCTCACAACAACCGCCAACCACGCCAGCCAGAAATGTGTGGTTTTTAACTAACCATAAAAAGTACAGCTTTTGTTTTACACTAACCATTAACATATAATTCTATACCAACTGCTTTGGATAAGTAGTTCTTATTCAAATTACCAACATCTGTATTTTTTTAATCTTTTCTTAATCTTGTAAACCGTTCCCTGTCATTAGGGACAACTTGGGGGGATGGTTTCACTGGTCTATACTGCCATTTCATTTTCAGTGGTCTGTGCAACAATTCAGTATTGCTAGTCTGTGTAGCGAGTTCATTTCTGCAGGTTTGCACACCAGTTTAATGATAACTTGGAGAGGAAAGAGGTCTATTGACTGATGCAGCCACTTCTACGAAGTTTTTTGCTTTTTCAAAAAGAGTGGCTGTATTTTTGGGCTAAAATCATAAAATATATTACATTTATAGATGGTTAAAGAGAAAGATCAAAGCTCTTAAATAACTAAGTGATAAAGCCTATCCAAACAAAACATTCTAAATAATCTTAGGATAAAGGCTTTTGGGGGAAAGAAAAAAAGCTCACTATATCACAATTAAAACAAAATATTATAGTTGATCTTAAACCCACAGAAACATTACCAAAAATTAATAAAACAGCTTATTCTTAATTGCAATTAAATAATAAAATGTAACTTAAATTAGCAACTGTCACCAATGAAAGTCACAAAACAGTTAACCCCTGATACTAGTCTTCATTTTCTATGGTCCCACTCATCACTATGAACAAGAATTTGTGAGGCAAAGTAATGATTTACGAAGTTTAGAAAGGTTTTGGTTGCAATTGCTACCATAGTTTTCAGCATCTTCATTAGTCTTACCTAAACTGTTCAGAACCTTGATGAGGCATAATACCACGAGCTTCCTCTTCACTAGCTATTGCAAAGGGTGTAGTTCGCCAATTGCGTAGGGCAACAACGAACACCTTACTGATTCTCAAAAATGGGCTCTTTCCATCTCCTTGGATGCTAAACCGATAATTCCAAGTTCCACAAGAGAATACAACCAATGCAATAACCATCGCAATGCAAGGGATTCCAAACCCAAAAGCCCAACCAACATTATCCTGGATATAGTTCAATATTGAAATAGTTACTAAGAGACCTGCAGTGAAAGTAAAATACCACCAGTTGAAAAATGAGCTTCTGGCCTTCCGTTCTTCTGGATGTTCCCTATCAAACTGATCAGCTCCAAAAGCCTGTACGCATGGCTTGTGTCCGCCTTGTGCAAGAGCAACAAGATATAAAGAGAAGAAAAATAAAATTACTTGGAGCTCGGAACAAGAGCTGCTATTAGCAAATTGACAATCAGCATTGCTGAAAGGAAGCAAAGCTGATAGAGTCAACAAGCTCAGTGCCTGCAATTCAATCCAATCAAAATTCAGATGAGCAATTAAATGACACATGTTCAAACACAAGTAAACAGACTTTCAAGATCATTTCTCGTAAACTTCAGACTGATTATTTTATATGGACTTGCCAGAAACCAGTTCCAATGAATAAAATAAATTTCTTTTTTTTTTTTGGCCAGAATGAATAAATAGATATCCATTGATAAAAACCCTGAAAAATTCAACCGAACCAGGAGCCAAATCATGGTTAGAAGAACTTAAAAAAAGAAAAGAAAAAAAAAAAGGAGCAACATGAATCAACAAAAGAATGAAAGCACTGACAATCAATCAATTCGGTGACTATCTCTACAAGTTTTAACCATGCTCAATACATCGATTTTACTAAATTTACACTACACAGGATGTCAATTGTTATATAATCAATTAAATAACTTATTTAATGACTGATTTAATCGGGGAAAAAACCCAGTCATTACTCTATGAGAGACAAAGGGAGTTCCCACTCATTGTTTTGTCTGCGAGGTTGACTAATGAGCTTACAAAGCTAGAAATATCAAATGCGAATTAAATGCAACCCATCAAAAGAAACATCAACAATGTTACTTGTAAGAAGTGCTGTTTGAAGGATTGTGTGTTGGTAGCAGTCATAAGAAACGTTATAGGTAGTCAGAAGTGGTTAGTTAGTTATTACTAATTAGTTGTTCGTTGTCAATAAATCAGTTACGAAACATAACTGAACGTAACAGAATAGCAAAAACCTTTTCTGAAGTTGTGGAATCACCTAATGAAATTCTATCGAGGAAAGTTTTTGGCCTGATTCTAAAACATCTTTCCAACCATCTCATGGATCAAGAAGTATAGTTGTAGAAAGACGAAAAACTGACCAAAATGTAGATGAAGGTTGCCAGCATGATGGTTCGGTAACGACCGAGAAAAGAATCGGCAACAAAAGCACCAAGCAGAGGAAACAACGACGCCGTTCCAGACCAGATATTCACGTTCTCCGCCGCCGTCACCGTAGATTGCCCCAGGGGCCCCGTCAGATAATTTATGAGGTTCGAATCGATTCCATAGTAAGCAAACCTCTCCGCCACTTCCACAACTATGAGAAAAACCGCAAAACTAAACGAGAATTAACAATTCTAAGAGTGGATTCATTACTAGAAGTGGTAAGCAAGCTGGAGATTTTACCAATAATGAATGCCGCTGCTCGCCAACCACCGGAGTAAGCTCGGAGTACTGGACGGTCTTTGAAATCGACGGCACCGTCGACGGTATCCAGCAGCAGCGGAGTTTCAGTTTGAGAATCATTGGAATGGTCGGAGATAGCCATGGAAATAGTGTGGACCACCGTGAACCGCCTCTCAATGATTGATTGGCCGCTTGGGTCACCCAGTCAGCCTCAGAGAGGTTGGGGGCGGTTCTAAGAAGCGACTGGTGCACATGAGTTTCAAGACTTGTCATCTGATGACGGATTATGTTAAAGAAAACCCAAAAAAAAAAAAGACAAAACAAAACAAAAAGAGAAAGATGGGTGCATCAAAAAGTGGTTTAATTATGAGAAAATTGCAATAAGGTATTAAATAAAAAAAATCCTTGGGATCATCAAATTAATTTAAAGTCTAAAAGGATCTCATTACAAGATATTTTCTTTGTTTAATTACCAAATTACTCTTATCTTTTTTAAAAAAATGCATTGACAACTGAATGTATAACTATTAACAACTTAAAATGTAACGATTAACAACTATTGCGGTAAATATTTACAACTCATACATTATATTTTCGTGATGCGTTGAGAAAATGTATTGTTAATACCTGCCGCAATAGTTGTTAATCATTATACCTTAAATTGTTTACAATTGTTTCTTTAGTTGTCAATGCACACCTAAAAAAAGGACAATTTGGTAATTAAACAAATAAAATCTCTTGCAATAAGATCTCTTGAGACTTCGAAATAATTTGATGATTTCAAAGGACCTTTTTATTTTTAATTGTGTTAGGTGGGATCTTATTATAATTTCTTCTTCAATTATTTGAGGTTATGTAAGGAGATGGTTACATCATGAGAGGATTACAATGTGGTCTTAAGAAAGAAAAATAATTACAAAATAAATCACTTCTATTTTAAAACTTGTCATTACAAGCTGTTTGAGATGTTATAAGGACTTTTTAGTAATTATCTTTCTTCCTCAAGATCTTATTATAATTCTCCCTTATATCAATCATCAGTTATTAATCATAAATATCTTCTCTAGATCTCATAACAACTAGCTAGCATCTTATTTAGTGATCTCACTATTCACTTCACTACTTACATAACATCCCTTTTTTTTTTGGGGATTTAGAATATTGCAAAAATGACAATTAAATACCTTAAAAATTTTAAAATGCCAACTCAAACACTTGAATTTATATAATCCCAACTAAAGTGCAAAGCTCAAATTGAAATTTTGCAATTTAATCAAAATTACCAAAATACACCCATTTCTTTAAAAAAAGAAAGAAAAAGCAAACAATCTCCATTGGAGACTCGCCGGCCTCTGCCATCGGCACTCCAACCCCGCCAATAGGAGGATCTTTTTTTAAAGTGAGAGGAATTTTTTTTAAGGTGGGGTTGGTGGAATTTGATCCCAACCGGGTGCATTCTAAAATTAAAGATGACTATTGAGCCAACAAGTTTTATGAACATTGTACTATAAACGAGACAATATAATTTAACTCCTTTACTTCAATTTCAGATTATGACAACACTTCATTTGTAAATAACAAATCTTGGTTATAAAATAACAAGTCTTAAATTGAAATTAACAATATTTTTTTTCTAATTCATAACATGTGAAATGGGATAATAATTGAGTTAGGACGAACATTTTTTTTCATAATCCACCTGTAAATAACAAGTTCTAAATGTAAGATAATCAAAAAGTATTTTTAATTAATAAAAAAGTATACATTTACCAAAGTAAATTAAAAGGTACTTTTAATTTATTTTGCTAAATTTTGATAATCAAAAAGTTACTCCAATTTTTCCTTGTGATAAAAATAAATTACAAAGCGTTTTAAACCTAGGCAAAATGGCATTAAGGTCCTAAGAAAGAATAAATACTGTAAAAAGGTCCCACAAAAATTATAAATAGATTATAAGTCCCAATAGGACCTCATTGCAAAATAATCCAGAGCTGCAATTACCTTTCGTCATTAAAGATTTAGAAACAGAAAAATGAAAGAGATGGCCATTTTTGCATGTCTTCCTCCACATGCTTCACAAGAAACAAAAAAAAATTCAGACTAAAGAAACAAAATTCATCTATCATCTTCCCCATCACCATCATTAAAGTTGAAATAACTCCTTCTTTATCATCTCCATAGATTTTTTGGTCCGCAACATTCATCTCCCTCTCTACTATGTTGTGTTGATAATTTAAGTTTGGGTTTTATTGTGGATAGGTAGAATAATAAATTAGTACTCTGTTTCTGAGTATATTGTGGGTCTTGCTGTGTTTGGTTATGATTAAGTAGGAATGAATGAAAATGATTATGGTTGTTGTGAGCAGAGCGCCTCTAATACGGAATGGAAAAACGTGTTATCAATGCAGGTCGCAATAATTGTCAATATAGCTATTTGACTTGTTAATAATGGCTGTGTTCTATAGATTTATATTAAAGATGACGAGTGATCCGAAAGGCATCTATTTTGTCTATTTCATGTAAGGGAAAGTTTGAAAATGATGTAGATGATATGTGATATGTGATATGTGATATGTCAGGGGTGGTGCAAGAATAAGAAGCATAAAGGAAGACACAAGTTATGAATAGTTGAAGACAATGATATCATCATTTGTTGCAAAAGAAAGTATCTAATTTGTTTTAAAATTCTCAAACAATCATCTATGTTTACATTTGTAGACATCGTAGATGATAATAGTGTAAAACATTTAAGAAAGCTCAATAAAAAAAGTAGTCATGCATGTGTATGAGAGAATGAAAATAATGACAATAGAGGATGATGTAGAAACTTTTTTTTTTTAATGGATGTGATAGGAACTTTTGTAAATGTGACAATACATACCAATAATTAGTTCGTTATTGGAACATGCAAGTTGTATGTCTTTTTTTTCAGATGTATTGTGAAATTGGTGTAATTACATGTATATAAAGTTGTAAATAAAAGTTGGCTACAAAACATTATTTTACATCTTGATGCATAATCCGTTGTCATTATCTGCACTCGTTATTAAATTCATCTTTCATCACTTATCACTGATAGCACTATCATTTATCAATTTATCTATAGACATAAATTTGAAAAAAATATGATTTCAAGTTACATAATGTGATATAATGCAAGATAATATCATCAATTCATCTGCAATTATACATTTTAGTTATAATGTGATATTAAAAGTCAATTATCACTTATATAAAATTATGAAATCATTTGTCATTAATTATGATCAATCTACAAGTATACAATGTAACATCCTAATTTTTATTTTTAGAAATTAAGTAAATAATAATAATAAAATAGTCTTGAAAATTGAAAAAAAATAAATTAAAATTAAATTAAAATTAATTAATAAAATAAAAAGTAGGGAAAAAAACCCACCCATCTTTTTCCACCAACAGTGAAAAAGGTGGGGATATTAAAAAAGAAGGAAAAATGAGGATGGCGTGGTTAAAGAAAGGAGGTAAGAAGTTATAGGATAAAAAAAAAAGGGAGGAGAGTCATAAGCAAAAGAAAAATGATGAGAAGAATTAAACGTGAGTGTATTAAATATCCATAACTCTATGCTTTCCTTTCATTTTTTTGAGAGAGGCTGAGAGAGAGAGAGCAAGAGGCTGAGAGAATTGCAGAGTGCATGGTCTCTAAAGGATTGAACAAGTTTTGAATATCATTTAGGTACACAAAAGTACCTTTTTTTAATCAAATTTTCTTTATGAATATTTTCTATATATTTAGAGTTTTATATTAGTAGTATTATTATAATGTTTAGAAAAATTTTGTGGCTTGGATATGGAGTAATTAGTGATTTTTGACAATATATGACCATAAAAATTTAAAGATAAATTATTAATGAATTTTAATGGGTTTATATTTGTTCATTGATTATTTTGGGGATTTTAAATTAAGATTTCAGTGGAAAATTTTATTGTTCAAGACATATACAGAATTTTCATCACTGTGCTTTCTTACTAATGGAAGAGATTCAAAATGGGAGGCTGAAGTATAAAGTTTTCAACAAGTAGCAGCAAACATGTGTTAGATTTAAGGTTTTAATGATAACAAATTTAGAAGTTTCTAGTTTAGTAAGTTGATCGATTATCTGATCGATCAAAGGTTAATCGATCACTTGATAGATAAAATGTTTCAGTATATAAAGGTAACTTAACAGTAAAGTTAATCGATAACTTGCTAGATAAATCTGATTTCATATATTGATCGATCAATTTATCAATCAAGGCTAACACTGTTTAGTATAGAAGTGTGCAGAAAATTATCGATCAATTGATCGATAATTTGATGATCAATCACCTGACAGATAAAGAGACACAATTCTAGTAAGCTTTTATCGATCACTTTATCGATCAATGGGTTATCGATGAGAAGATAGATAAATGGTAAAACTCTTCTACTTAAGTTGCATTCTATTTCATTCACCATTTATCAATCACCTTTTCGATCAGACATTTATCAATAACCTGCTCTATCATTGCATAATAACTTAATGGATTATCGATATTTCGTTCAGATGTGTTGACAGGCTCTTTTATCTATCACTTGATCGATCAGTGATTTATCGATCAAATGATCGCTCATTGTCACACCCTGATAATTTTATTCTAATTGATGAATGATTTGTGACTGACTAAGGCCAAATAGTATAGTAGACTGGTAGAGGATCCAGGCTATGAGGAAAAATCAGGATAGGGACATAACGGTCATTTTTGAAAAGATCGGTCAAGAAAGGGCAGTATTGGAAATAATGTCCAAAATTCCTGAAAATTCCCAGAAAATCATGAAAAATAGAAAGGAGGGTACAGAATAATGTTTGAGGCTTACAAGATGAATATAAGATTAAAAATAATTTATCAGGGAATTATTTGTAATTTTTGGAATTTTTGGTTAATTAAGGAAAATTAGCCAATTTCCATTATTTAAAATATATAGAGGCCTCAAAAATTCAAGGAAAAATAGGGATAAATTATGTGACATATTATCCTAATTTATAAAATTACTTCCCACCTTTGGATGTACAAAGGTTAGCTTAAAGAATATTTATTACCGAATTATTATCGGTAGAATAGTGATTTTTGACAGAATAAAATTTAGAAAATTATAGAGGGAGGTAAAACTTGAGAAAAATCATGGATTACCCTTGGAATGAGGGGAATTTAATGAGGTGTTGAAATCAAAATTTTGTGACAGTAA